ACAAGAAAAAAAAAAAAGAGAAAGAAATTAACATATGAAACTGATGAGCGCGTATACTATGTTGGTTACGGCGTAGTCTATAGGTCCTAGTAGTAGGGAGTAGCTACGGCATGCAACGTGCCGAATGATCAGCGGGCGGACAACCGGCGGGACTGCTTTCCTTGGCAGGTCATCGGGCAAAATGCGGGCGACCACTGACCATTGATTACTTGTCCCGATCTACCTATCTCATCTTCCTGCTTCTCTTTCCTCTCACGTGTGTTCTTGTCACTCTATCTTTGTCAGTGGATTATGTGCGCCTTGGTCTGGCGCCAGACACTCGCAGCTGGAGTTAACCGCTTGGTGTCATCCGCTGTCGTAGTTGCGTGGCCTTCTTAAGGATGGCTAGCCAACTGATGGGCGATGCCCTTCATCAAATTATCCGTATGTCTCCTCCCCACCATTATTCCAACGTTTTGCTGTCAAGGGCGCTCTCACTTGACACGGTCACTGTGTCAATGAAACTAGTCGCCGTGCCACACGATGTGATATATTCCCGAGAAATTGAACGCGCCATGGCTGACCGTTCCTGCTTTGCTAGGGAGAGCTGCGGACTCCGAATCCGATCCTGAAGAAGGTGCGCACCGAAATGCCCAATATCTGGGTCGTAATACCACTCTCTGACTATGACGGGCTTGGACAGATGCTCCGGAAGCTGGCACCAAGGAGTTCTTCAGCTCTTGGGCGCTCTTTATTCTGATTATGCTCTTGATGTTCGCGCTATTCACCAGTTACATTCTCCAACAGAAGAAGATCCAGGCGGTCCATGAAACTGTCCTCTCTATTTTTGCTGGTATGTTTTTTTTCTGCAATCAGCATAAGTCTTTGTGTGGTTGGCGTCTCACAGGTGCTATAGGTATGTTTGTCGGATTAATCATTCGGTTGAGCCCCGAATCGCCCATTCAGGACAGCGTCACATTCGACTATCAGTTCTTCTTTAACCTCCTTCTTCCTCCAATTATCCTCGCCTCGGGGTACGAGCTACACCAGGCAAATTTTTTTCGAAATATTGGCACTATTCTTACCTTTGCATTTGCGGGGACCTTTATCTCGGCTATCGTGCTGGGACTTGTTTTGTTTGTCTGGACGCGGATTCCGTTGGATGGCTTGAACATCTCTTTCGTCGAAGCTATCTCTGTAGGCGCTACGCTCTCTGCGACGGATCCAGTTACTATCCTCGCCATTTTTAACCTATACAAAGTCGAGCCGAAGCTTTACACCGTTATCTTCGGCGAGTCGATCTTGAATGATGCAATTGCAATTGTCTTGTTTGAGACCGCGCAGAAGTATGCGGACAGCGATGCAGGCTCCCTGACTGTTCTCAATCTGTTTGAGGCCATCGGTCTTTTCTTGCTTGTCTTCTTCGGCAGCATGATTGTAGGCATGGTTGTAGGTATCATGACTGCATTGGGTCTCAAGCATACACACGTCCGCCGCGTGCCTAAGATTGAGAGTTGCCTAATTGTTCTTATCGCATATGCCAGTTACTTCTTCTCCAACGGCGTTCGCCTTTCGGGTGAGTAACCGAATTCTTCCTCCGAGTGTCCCGAAACTCACGATTAATAGGCATTGTCTCCCTTTTGTTTTGTGGCATTACATTAAAACATTATGCGTACTATAACATGTCGCGCCGAACTCAATTAACGACGAAATATCTGTTCCAGGTGATGGCACAATTGTCAGAGAACTTTATCTTCATTTATCTGGGTCTTGATTTGCTTGTGCAGAGGAATCTGCAGTTTAAGCCTCTTTTCATCATGGTCGCTGTTTTTGGCATCTGCCTTGCCCGATACCTCGCTGTGTTCCCGCTATCCAAGGCGATCAACTGGTTCATTCGCTACAGGGCCCGTCGGCGCGGGATGGAAGTGGCAGATGAGTTGCCCTTCGCTTATCAAGCGATGCTCTTTTGGGCCGGGCTTCGTGGGGCTGTTGGCGTGGCGTTGGCCGCGGGCTTAACGGGCGTCAACGCGCCCGCACTGCGAGCTACGGTGCTTGTCGTTGTCGTACTGACAGTCATAATTTTTGGCGGCACCACAGCCCGGATGCTAGAAATCCTTGGCATTAGAACTGGGGTCGTTGAGGAACTCGAATCTGACGATGAGTTTGACATTGAAGTTACCAATGGGGGAACGTATTACAAACGATCTGATACTGCACTGGGGTATACCCCCGCCGGACGGACTCGGCCATCCCCTTGGACGGAGTGCAGCGGGGGGCCCTTGACCGAAACGATAGCTATTCAAGCGGCAATAACCGTCGCCCCAGCCCGCCGCAATCTAGTTCGGGCAAAGGCCGGAGACATTCGCGTCTCTACTCCAATGCGTACAGTCAGAGGGACACGCAAACAACCCGCGACCGTTCGTCCACAGCCACGCTACTTGGCGGCGGCACTGGAAGTCACAGTGACAGTGCGGGTAGCGAAGACGAGTTCGGTCTGCGGAGTAACGGTAAGGGCCGAGCGGCGGATGTTGACCAAGTCGATGCCTTTGATATGGACGTGGATGAAGCACCCTCGGACGATGATCTTCCTCCTTCGGCCCCCACTGCTTCTCGACTTCGGCGGTCACCATCGCAACCACCTCAGTATCCGGGCTCGTCACAAGCATCTCCTTCTGCCCATGTGTCCCCCTCGGGGCGAGAGACATCGCGGAGTGCCGGTCAAGCTATCCGGGATCTTTTTTCGGGAGGATCATCTGGAGATCATGGCGCGTGGTTCCGCCAACTGGATGAGGACTACATCAAACCCCGACTTTTGTTAGATCAATCGAATCATAAGGGACCGGGTGCTGTGTAAAACGTTCTTTCATATACCTCTAGTTTGCTTTCGATCGTTCCGTTTTGACCAGAAGCTTGTACCTCTTATACTTTTGATATACCAGCCGGCTATAGGCATGCTGTGTAATTATTTTTGGGTTTTTTTTCAATTGATTGGCATGGCAGAGTCTGGAAACTCTGTGCTAAGTCGTGTGTATACTGAGAACAATTCAGGCGATTGTCTTCCCTCTTCGTCGAGATATGATTGTGTGGTTAATGAAAGAAAGCATTTTGTTTCAGGTTATCTACAGTACTATCTTCACAAACGGGGGTTTTGTTTTTGTTTTTGTTTTACAATTCCAATGAAACGAGTATTGATCTCGTACAATAATACACCGTATGTTTAGGTTGTGCGATCTTCTCGTTTCCCCTCTTTTTCTCTCTATCTTCAGTCTTATCAACCCAGGCGGATTGGTCGCATGACCCGAAGGCCGGGGAAGTAAGGGAAGGGATAATGGAGCAGTCGTCATGCAGAGATGGCTTATCTACGAAGAGCTTATTGAGGGCAAGCCAGAAGAAGTCCCTGGTCTAGCCCCTTTCCTTCAATTCTCTCTCCCCTCCTTCTCTTATTTCCTCCCTGCGGCACCCTAGAGAAAGCCTTACTACGAGCTATTTCCCTTTGGTCGGGCATCGCATCTCGTTGTTTTCCTTCTTTGCTCCTTCTAGGAATCCCAGGCTATGGATATCAAGGCGAAGGCTGCTTCGGCAGCAGAAAAGGATGACATCCCAGTGGAGTCTGGGGATATGCAACTTCTTGGTAAGCTCCTTAGGATAGCCAGGCCATAATCATATACCCATGTGCATAGACTACAAAGTCGATATTGATCTCGCCAGCCGCTCTCGGTTACAAACAGGAACTGCGAAGGCACTACTCAACGACTCAGGTCTTTGCAGTAGCATTCAGCATCATGGGCCTATTGCCTTCGATTGCTTCCACACTGTCTTTCTCGATACCTGAAGGCCCTGTAGGGATGGTTTGGGTGAATCGATACATCTCTCCATTTGGAAAACTTTAGCTAACTCTTTGGGTAGGGTAAGGCTCTCTTGGCTGGCTCGTGCAACTTTTCAAGGAGCTGACAGAACTGCAGGATGGCTAGCTGCCAGTGTGTTTATCTTCATCGTCGGTCTCGCCATGGTATGTTGAGTACATCGTCCCTCGCTCTCCTTGTTTTCAGTCTGACGATCGTTGATCCAGGCCGACCTGGCCTCCGCAATGCCAACGGCGGGAGGCCTTTATTTCTGGACACATTATTTCAGCGGTGACAGATGGAAGAACCCCCTGAGTTTTGTTGTCGGATACAGTAATACTATAGGTCTCCTCGGTGGCGTTTGTTCTGTGGATTGTATGTGACCTGTAATATCTGTGCAACAACCCATTGCGACCCTGTGTGCCACTGACACTTGCAAATTAGATGGATTTGCTACCATGCTACTGTCTGTTGTCTCACTGGCCCACGATGGTAACTGGACTGCCTCTCGTCCAGTTGTGTACGGAACGTACGTGGCCTGCGTCGTCGTCCATGGTCTCATAGCTACGTTCTTTGGACGCATCATGCCCAAGATTCAGTCGGCATGTATTGTGAGCAATGTCGGTCTCGTGCTAGCCACTGTCCTCGCATTACCCATCGGGAAGGCTATAAGGGGCGGGCATATTAACTCGGGTGCTTATGTTTTTGGCCATCTTGAAAATCTCACAACCTGGCCCCAAGGTTGGGCGTTCATGCTGGCCTGGCTCTCCCCGATCTGGACCATCGGGGCGTTCGACTCGTGTGTCCACATGAGCGAGGAGGCTACTCATGCGGCGCGCGCTGTACCTTTGGGTATCATCTGGTCTGCAGGCCTCTGCGGAGCTCTAGGGTTTCTCTCCCTTGCAGTAATCACAGCTGTGATTGATGTCAACTTGGATGGTGTATTGAACACTAACCTTGGCCAACCAATGGCACAAGTAAGCATATACATATACCACGTCTTCTCCAGCATACTAACCCTAGGTACTATAGATCTACTACGACTGCCTCGGAAAAAGCGGTGCCCTTGGCTTCATGATAGTAGTGGCAATTGTCCAATTTTTCATGGGACTGAGTCTGGTCCGTATTCCCTCAACAACATGCACGTGTGCCTATCACACCTATAGCCCTAACAGTGAAAAAATCTGCTAAACAGGTGATCGCTGCCTCTCGCCAAAGCTGGGCCTTCTCCCGAGATGGCGCCCTCCCCTTCTCCTCCTTCTTCCGCAAAGTCAGCAAAAAGATCCGCTACCAACCAGTCCGCATGATTTGGGGCGTCGTAGTATCCGCTGTCATCGTCGGTCTTCTCTCCATAATCAACAGCGCCGCCTCTAACGCCCTCTTCTCTCTTGCCGTAGCCGGCAATGATCTCGCCTGGATGATGCCCATCCTCTGCCGGCTGGTCTGGGGCCAGGACCGATTCCACCCTGGTGAGTTCTATACGGGTCGATTTAGTAAACCGATAGCGGTCACCGCTATTGTGTATTTAGCGTTTGCAATCATCTTGTGTATGTTTCCAACTACGGGGCCGGATCCAACTCGTAAGTTTTTCGCCTTCTTTTCATGGTATAGATTCATTCCATTAGTGAAGCTGACACTTGGTTTAGCGCAGGATATGAATTATACAGTTGTTATTAATGGAGCGCTTTGGGGAGGCGCACTTCTGTACTATGGGCTATATGCAAGGAAGACATATAAGGGACCTCAGACGACGGTCGGCTCGTCATCCAGTCCTTCCGAGGCAAATCTTGGAGGGTTATAAAGTGCATGATGCAAGTACTCGTGGTGGTGTTTTCGAGACGAAACAGACTACTTCATCTCTATGCGTCGCGGAGAATAGCTACGGAGCAAGGAAAGATGAACGCTGGACACGACGTAAACGAAACGCTTTTAAATTAACATCATGAATTATTACCTATCTGCTAGAAGATGTCACCGCTGTCCCGAATCCCACGCATAGGTGCTCTTATAGTACCTTCTCTATTGGAGTTCTTATTTCATTCATAGTCTGTAACCGGAAACCCTGAGGAAGAGATGATGGAGTCTCATAATTCTCGTAATTGTTATCATTTCGTGCGTTATGATCGTGTTCCCTTCATTCGGGGATTTCAAGCACATAACGGCCGGCGATCTTGCCTTGCTCTATTTCAAGTGTTAGCATAATCCCATGAAAGAATGAGACGTCCATTGTTAGGGTATCAAGGTAAACGAACCCATGAGCTCGAAGATCTTGGGGAGATCCTTCAATGGTGCGGTCTTAAATGGAGCCTTGATCAGACCGCGTGCAAAGAAGTCCACAGCCTCCACGCCATCTTGACGGTTACCGACATAGCTACCCTTGATGTTAATCATACGAACGACGGTATTGAAAACAGGGGCCCTGAGGAAAGCACCGGCGGGCAAGCCGATGGCGACGACGGTACCGCGCGAGCGGACGTATTCGGCGGCCTGCTGGAAGGGCTTTTCGGCGACGGCAAGAAGAATGACGGCATGTGCACCTAGGCCTTCAGGGGTAGCGGCTTTGACGTCTGCAACGAGATCTTGGGTCTTCGTGAAGTCAACGTATGCCTTTGGGATTTTGTTAGCTAGTGTTTTATAGTAATGAGAGGTGGTGGAGAGGGTTGTTGCATTGATCTACCTCAGCGCCTAATTCCTCGCACATGGCTTGCTTCTCTTCTCCACCATCAATGGCCACCACACGAATGCCCATTGCCTTTGCATACTGCAGCGCCAAAGAACCAAGACCACCACCAGCACCCACGATGGCAACGGTTTGACCCGGACGAACACCAGCTTCTTTCAGTCCCTTGTAGACGGTGATGCCCGCACACAGGACGGGAGCGACAGCGTCCAGAGGAACGTTCTTTGGAAGCTTGGAGGCGTGGGTGGCCTTACCAATGGCGTACTGCTGGAAAGTCCCGTCGACCGTGTAGCCAGACAAGGAGGCATTCGGACAGAGAGGTTCGTCGGCTTGCTTGCAGAATTCACAGGCGAGACAGGATCCATTGAGCCATTTGAGACCGGCGTGGTCGCCAATCTCGAATTCAGTTACCAGATCACCCTTGGCGACGACGACACCAGCTCCCTCGTGTCCACCTACGAGGGGCATCTTCACCGGGAGGGGCCAGTCACCCTTCAAGGCGTGTAGGTCGGTATGGCAAACGCCCGAGTATCGAACCTTGACCAGGATCTCATCTGGTCCTGGCTTGGGAACGGGGATCTGCTTGTAGATGAGCGGACCGCCCTTCTGCTCGGCCACTTGAGCCCACTGCATCTCAGGGATCGACATTTTGACTTTGGGGTCTTTTGTTGGAAAAAAAGGGACGAAAGGAGGGTTGCGGTAGAACTGGGTTTGTTTCACACGATGAGAGAATCGGTTGTAGGAGAGAAGTGATGAGGAAGTGAAGTAAGCTGAGGGTGAGACTCTGGACAGTTCTTATAGAAGTCTAGAATCAATTGAAGCAACGGGGTGGGGTGACGGTCATCCAATCCGCATGACGTGGTATTATAGGGTGGGAATCATAGTAGGAGTGAATGAGAGTGAATGCGCTGTAGGGATGGATACACACACACCCAGACGGACATATGGAAAACGAGTCACCGGAGAGAGGGAAAGGAAAGGTCAAAAACAGAAAAAGGCAAAAAGAAACATGGAAGAGATTCTGTGAGACACACCGAAGCTATTCCAAGACGATCAAACGATGCCGTATGGAAGATTATCAGCCCACCGAATGAACCACAAACAACAGGCGATCCATGGCCGACGTCATCGGGGTTAAGCTCTCTCTCCGCATTGCCCGATTGGTACGATGGTGCATAAGCACCGTCCGTCGATTTTCTTTTCCAGCATGTCCAACGTACAGACTCCCAGCGACGTTCCCTTCCCCCGAAAATGCTTCCTTGTCAGGGAGTCCAGATCCTGGGCCAAGCCTTCCCAGATTTAGTCAGACTGGCCGTATCTCATGCGGGGAAAGAGTGAAGGACCATCTTTTTCTTTCAAGGTTCCCTGACAATTATGATAGATCACCGAATAAGGTAGACCGAGCCTCTTGGGAAGCTGAGACTCAAGAGGCAAAGATTCAATCCATTCCATACTAAATCGTCCCCTAAAATCGGATGATGTCGATCGACTGATGGCCAATGGATGCGGCAACCCTAGTCAGTTTTAAGGAAAGCATTGGTGCCTCAGGCGGTATGTCCCGTACTTCAAAGTTACTAGCATGGGAGCCACTTCGCCCCATTGAAAACCCCCCTCCTTCCTTCTTGCTTGCTTTTTCTCGGGATTTGCTGAGATGCGGGATGGATGAGATTTTTTTTGGAATTCTTTCCAAGCTGACTCCGGACGTACGGAGCTCAACATATTGAAGGAACCCGCATATAAATGTATAATCCTCGTACCTAGTTCCCTCATACCCGGAGGATATTGGACATAAGAGACGTGAGGTCTGTGATTTGGTCAATTCCTTCTATAAAGAGAAGTCTTGAATTTCTCTCTGAAAGTCAGGGACGACTTTATAGCCCGGATCTGATGGTATCTTCAGTACCATCTGTAGGATTGCCTTGCTTGTGATCTCTTCTCGTCATCATTCTTGTCTTCTCTTGTCGCACTCATGGATACGAGACATTAACATCCTATGCGCAGATCATCTTCACATTGTAGAACGACAAAAGAGTTTATACGGCAGGTAGGGGGTTTTTAAACCTTTCAAAGTCGACCAGGAGTACCTTACGGGCAAAGGACCTTTTGGAAGCCACCTGACCTTCTGTACATGTCTGTTTGTTCATTAATAGCATTTGAATACGTTGCCTGCTGGCACAGGGGATTTTCTGACAATGCTTGATATGCCCTTTGATTGCAATTCTTTACTACAATTACATGTCAACCATGCATACGTCTAAAATGACCAGGGTCTTGGGGTAATGAAGCAAATGTAATAATGATCATCTTCTGTTGACACGAAATTCAAGAGGCTATACTGCTCTAAAGCAGCGATGTCCTCTTGCAGGTATAAAAGCTTCTCTATCAGGGTATCAGTCAGCCTGCCCAGTATGCGTTTCAGAGATATGTACCTGATTCAATGTTACATAAATGGTGCAGTGCTATGATTCAACAATGTGTGTCTTTAATTCCTGCTAGTCATTGTTGGTGGCCGGTTGTATAGAATACTAGCAAGGATTTTCATAGGGGTATTTAATGCCATAAAACATATTGGTGTCTTTATTTATTCTGGATATAACCAAATATAGCACTGCAGCAAAGGTAAAGTTCAGTAGTAAAGAAAAAAAAACAAAGACCTTCTAGAATTGAACACTCTTCGATGTGATTTGTGTATAGCCGGTGTAAGGAATGAAAGGACGGGATTGAGCATGACTAAAAATCTCTACTCTGTAAAGTAGCCCTGAGGTGTAAAAACATGCTGAAGGACAAATTACATTACTTGTCTTAGCTTGTGCCAATACAGAAAGCGGTTGTCGACATAGGTAGCGATATTCCACCATGGGTAATTTGAATAACAGAAGGAAGCTTGCAGCGCAATTAACTGTCTGACCCATATCAATCAATGGAACATTCAATCTACCTTAAGATCTGGGGTGGTAATTACCAGTATTGAACGAGACGGGCTTGGTCATGACGAGGATCCGTTGAAATTTTAGCATACCTACTGAATATTATGGCTGAGTTGGTTAGAGGGTAATGAAGGGAATTGAAGTGAAGGAATAGCCTTGTAACTTGAAGGAAGTGCCTCAACTACAGAGTAGGTTATACCTACATAAACACCTAATTTACTACCTACGTACGGAGTACAGTTTGCACATTCTTTGTAGGCCGCAATAGGAGATAAGCTCGACCTGTCTCACAAATTCCCAAACCTGCCTAGTCTACTTTACCGTAAGTAATGAAAATACGCGTACCGCGACGAGCGTGTTTCGGATGAGCGCTTTTAAGCAGTACAGCGGACGAACGACACGACGAAGACAAGACGAGACAGGCAAGAAGTTGGGCAAAGGGGGAAACGGACAGAAAGTGACCAGAGAAGGAAAAATACTGGATCGGCCAACAACCATCCCTCACCATCATCACCACCACCACCATCTCATCCGCCATCGTCAATCTTTCTTCCTTCCTCTCCTCCTCCTCCTCATCCTCTTTCTCATCCTTTCCATCTCCATCACCATCTCTCCGATCCATAACCAATCCGGAACCCCATCTTCTCTCCCCCCAGCTCCATCCGCCGGCCCAGGCAAATTGATTACACCCACCACTCCTTGGCTGGGCCTGGCTTTTGGCGCATCCTCGCCTCGTCGCTTGACTGGTGTTCTCTTTCGGAAACCGCTGACCCGCTGCGAGGATTTGTCCGTTCACCACCAAGCACAAAGAGCCTTCCTTCCTCTCAAGATTCCTGTGCACCTGGTAAGGCAATTTCCCCTTCCCACTCCATCTCCGTCCCTTTCCCTAATTCACCTTCGCAACTATAACACATCGGCGAACATTTACCTTCCTCTCCACCTCACCTCCCGATACCTGGACACCTCAGATTAATTCTCCAAGCAGGTAGCGCCAAAAGCGACAACCGGACAGACGCGTGATAGCTTCGCTTTTCCATTTCGCAACACACTAACCTGGCCACCCGCGCATGGCCGGCGGTCGCCCATCGTGACAGTTCAAGTTCATCTGACACGATCCTTCCTGCCTTCGTCTCTTTAACTATTGCCGTTGTCCTTGTCAAGCGTTCGCCGCCGCGTTTTCGGCACACGCGGCCACCATGACGGGAGCTCCGCCATATAATCCCCAGTCCCCTACCCAGCAGCACCGTTATCCTGGTTACTCTCCTCCAAATAAGAGCCGCCCCTTTTATCCCAACAATGACCAGTACCAGCAGCATCCTCCCCAGACGCCTCCTGCGTTCCCTCCACCGACCACCATGTCACGGAGCCCTCACTATTCACATGCGTCTCCGTTGCCGGCGACCCTCCCACCATTGAACGGGACTGCACCTCCGCCACATCCTCCGGATCCTTCATCGCAGTTCCAGGCCCATTCGTCAGCTGGAACTCCCCAATTTCCTCTTCCCCGGCCCTATTCTGGGTCCGTCTTATCAAGCAACGGCGCATCTCCTTACGGTCCCTCCACTCCGTCCCATGCCCATCCGACTGGCAGGCCTGAGGGCCCTTTGCAACTCTCCCCAAAGAAAGACACAGAATCATCGTATCTAGGCGGCCCTGGGGTTGCTGGGTATCCGTCCTCTATCATGAGAGAACCAAAGCCGGCCTCCCCTCCAAAGGAAGCAGTACGTTCTTTATGCATATCGATTACACGTTCTACGCCGGATTAGAGAATTCCTTTACTGATGTATGACTTTTTGCTGCTGCATGTAGAAGCCTGCCAGGGCTGCAGACCCCATGTCCTTCGCTAGTATCCTATCAGGGCCGGCCGAAGAGCGCTCTCCTCCTAAACGACAATCCCCCCCACCAGAGACGACACCGGCACCGGTAACGTCAACACCACGAGAAGCAACGCAGCTTAGCCCGCCTCCGCCAGCTCATGTTCCTCCGTCGCATCCGAGAGTGAAAGAGCAGGAGCAGGTATTACCCAGGCTGGAGAAAAAGCCGAGCTCGGAGAAACGCCGTCGCAACGTTGAGCTGGACAACAAAGCGCGTGAACCTTTGAACGGTATTTCAACAACCAACGGTAGTCTTGAGCCAACCAAGACGTCTGCTCAACCATGGGCGTTCCTCAACCCCCGTAAGGCTCTGTCCGAACGGGAGACGGAAACCATCAACAAACTTATGGTGGAGATTGACAATGCGGAGAAAAGTGATGTGGAAGCTCCTGGGTTCGAAGAAGAGTACGAACAGTACAAATTGCAAAGTAAGCGACGGGCCTTGCATGCCTTGAAAGAGGAGGGCATAAAGCGCAAGGTAAGCCATTATTATTCACAGTTTGGATGAAACACTCTACTTACACAGGATGCAGCGTCGCCGAAATGTGTTCTTGGTCAACCTTGGCAAATCTCTTGAGAAGCAGGCCTCTGCGGGAATGGACCGGTTTCGGATTGCCAATGAGGCCTCCGTCATCTCAGAAGTCCAAGCTAAAGAAATTCAGGATGAGAAAGAACGCAAGAAGGACATGCAGAGGAAGCGTCGTCGGGAAAACACGGTACGGTTGGAGATGCAGAAGAAGCTTGAGGCCGAACGCAAAGCAAATAAGGCTCAAGACTCTGCCGAGAAAGCCAAGTTTTTGCGTGAAGCAGAACGAGCACAAAGGAAAATTAAGACTACCAAGCGAGCCCTGGAAGGTGTCACAGCGCCTGAAGAGATCGGTGAAGTCACACCGCTGGCACCAAACCTCGAAGGTGGCACTACCAGCTCTTTCCACATCGGCCGGAGCTCCCCATCGAGGCGGAAATCGGGACGTGGAGGTCCTGTTACACGGCCCAAGAAATCGAAGGAGCAAAAGCAAGCGGAGAAAGATGCAGCAGAGGCCGCCTATGCTGCCATGGAAAATGATGAGCCACTTCCTCTTGCGCCCAAAGAAGATCCGCGTAAGGAATCTCTCAAGAAGGAAGCTAAAGGCAGCCGCTCCAAGGAGAGTAGCCCTGCGCCCCTGTCCGCCTTCGAAACAAAAGGCTACAATCAGATTTATGAGCAAATCTGGCGAGATATTGCCCGTAAAGATATTCCCAAGGTCTACCGCATTAAAGCCCTCTCGCTCAGCACCCGCCAGGAGAATTTGCGCAAGACTGCACAGCTAGCCAGTAAGCAGTCTCGTAAGTGGCAGGAACGTACGAATAAGAGTATGAAGGATACCCAAGCCCGGGCCAAGCGGACTATGCGTGAGATGATGTCATTCTGGAAGCGCAACGAGCGTGAAGAACGTGATCTACGCCGCCTTGCTGAAAGGCAGGAAATCGAGTCGGCCAAGAAAGCAGAAGCAGAGCGCGAAGCCAACCGCCAGAGACGCAAACTCAATTTCCTTATATCCCAAACCGAACTATACTCTCACTTCATTGGCCGCAAAATCAAGGGTGCCGAGGGAGACTCTGGTGATACTGCCGTTGAGGGATCGGATGAAACAATTCAATCCGGTAAAGATCAAGAACATGATCTGCCCCCCGGCGTTGCGGATGCTGGCGCTAAGGTGACCAACTTTGAGGACCTCGATTTCGACGCAGAAGATGAATCAGCTCTACGACAGGCAGCAATGGCCAACGCGCAGAATGCCGTTAAAGAAGCTCAAGACCGAGCGCGAGCCTTCAATGACGGGCAAGATAATATGGCTGCTTTGGACGAGGGTGAATTGAACTTCCAGAACCCTACGAGTTTGGGCGACATTGAGATTTCGCAACCCACCATGCTCACGGCGAAATTGAAGGAATATCAGCTGAAGGGTCTCAATTGGCTTGTCAACTTATACGAGCAAGGTATCAACGGTATCTTGGCCGATGAAATGGGTCTGGGAAAGACCATTCAATCTATCTCTGTTATGGCCTACCTCGCCGAAGTTCACAATATCTGGGGCCCATTTTTAGTCATTGCGCCCGCCTCAACCCTACACAATTGGCAACAGGAAATTACTAAATTTGTTCCTGACATCAAAGTCCTTCCTTATTGGGGCTCAGCAAAAGACCGCAAGATTCTTCGCAAGTTCTGGGACCGCAAGCACATCACCTATACTAAGGAGTCCGAATTCCACGTGCTAGTGACATCCTACCAGCTCGTGGTCCTCGACGCGCAGTACTTCCAAAAGGTTAAATGGCAATATATGATTCTTGATGAAGCCAGGCAATCAAATCTTCGCAAAGCTCCCGTTGGAAAAACCTTCTAGGTTTCAGCTGTCGTAACCGCCTCCTCCTCACTGGTACGCCTATTCAAAATAACATGCAGGAGCTATGGGCTTTGCTCCACTTTATCATGCCCACTTTGTTTGATTCTCACGACGAGTTCAGCGAGTGGTTCTCCAAGGACATCGAGTCTCACGCTCAAAGTAACACCAAGTTGAATGAGGACCAGCTGAAGCGTCTCCACATGATCCTGAAACCCTTCATGCTTCGTCGTGTTAAGAAGCACGTTCAGCAGGAGCTTGGGGACAAGGTTGAGAAAGATGTCTTCTGCGATCTGACCTACCGTCAGCGGGCCTACTACACTAATTTGCGAAACCGCGTTAGCATCATGGACCTTATCGAGAAGGCTGCTATTGGTGATGAGGCCGACAGCACGACGTTGATGAACTTGGTCATGCAGTTCCGGAAGGTTTGTAATCATCCAGACCTGTTTGAACGCGCGGAAACGAAATCGCCCTTCTCTGCCGCACACTTTGCGGAAACGGCCTCCTTTGTCCGAGAAGGCCAAAACGTTGATGTCGGTTACTCGACACGTAACCTGATCGAATATCCTTTGCCACGCCTTCTATGCGGCTCTGACGGCCGTGTTGATATAGCAGGGCCCGGTAATCTACAGGCCGGTTTCCGTGGCAAGTACCTGGCTCACTTGATGAACATCTTCGCCCCAGAGAATATCAAACATAGTGTCGCACACGATGGTGCATTCTCTTTCCTACGCTTTGTGGACACGTCCATAAATGAAGCGTACGAGCAGTCCCGTCAGGGTATCTTTGAGCGGGCGATTCGCCGGCGCGGCAAATCCAACAGATTGTCTCGGCTCAACGTAGTCTATGATGATGATGATGATGAAACAACGATGGCATCCGTCCTTTCCCATACCATGTTCAACATCGTCCAACGTAACGACCAGCATGCTCTTAATGATGTCACGACAGAGGGATACATGCGGGAATTAACGACCGTGGCGCAGTCCGTCTTTGAGCGTGAAGGTCTGGGCATCATTGAGCCTTGTGTCAGTCCCGCAGCGTCTGCGCCCCCGATTACTGTTTCGTCATCCAGTCGAGCGCCTTTGAATGAAATGAATGACAGCCTATTCAATGTTTCAGTTCGGCATGCCTTGTTCAGCACGCCTTCTAAACAACTTGAGCAACAGATTCTTGAAAAGAAGCTGGACCCTATTCCTTACTCGCTTCCGCCGATGTTGCCGCAGCCAACATCCATCAAAGGACGCTACACGCACATTGAAGTGCCATCTATGCGCCGTTTCGTTACAGATTCGGGTAAACTGGCCAAGCTAGACGAGCTCTTGCGAGAACTCAAGGCAGGCGGTCACCGTGTGCTACTCTACTTCCAGATGACACGCATGATTGATCTAATGGAAGAGTACTTGACCTACCGCAATTATAAGTATTGTCGTCTGGACGGAAGTACGAAATTGGAAGACCGTCGCGACACGGTGGCAGATTTCCAGCAGCGCCCAGAGATCTTCGTCTTCCTTTTGTCTACTCGTGCTGGTGGTCTGGGTATCAACTTGACTGCAGCCGACACGGTTATCTTTTATGATTCGGACTGGAATCCTACCATTGACTCTCAAGCTATGGATCGTGCTCACCGTCTCGGCCAGACGAGACAGGTCACGGTATATCGTTTGATTACTCGCGGCACCATTGAGGAGCGTATTCGCAAGCGAGCTCTGCAGAAGGAGGAAGTGCAGCGTGTCGTCATCTCAGGCGGCGCAGCTGGTGGGGTTGACTTCAATACTCGCAACCGCGAGAGCCGAACCAAGGACATTGCCATGTGGTTGGCAGATGATGAACAGGCGGAGCTTATTGAGCAGAAGGAGAAGGAAGCGCTGGACCGAGGCGAAGTGTTTGGCGCTAGTAAAGGCGGGAAGAAAGCTGCTCAGAAGAGAAAGAGAGATATCACCCTGGATGATATGTATCATGAAGGTATGTGGATTTGATCAGCGCTCTCCGTTCGGATAGGCTTTTGGTAAAGTTACTAACCGCGTCAATCTATAGGTGAAGGGAACTTTGACGATGCCAGTGCAAAGCCATCCGGAGCGGCCACTCCTGTGTCGACTGCAGAGAATTTAGGCACCCCATCATCTACGCCAGTTCCTAAGCGAGGACGTGGAAGGGGGACAGGGAAAGGCACGTCTAAAAGAGCCAAAACCACCAAGGAGCGATTACGTCTCATTGATGGTGACGGAGGCTTAGGGCCTAGCTGATTCAACCTACATGGTGCCTCAATAATTGACACGGCTGGTTATGGTCATGGCGTTTCAGAGATTGCATTGCCTTTGCTTCCCTTAATTTTTCTTTCTTTCTTTCTTTTCTTTCGTTTCATTTTTCTAAACCCTCTTTTTGGTTCTTGTTATCGGACTCTTCTTGTGGGCAGTTTACATTCTGCCTTGTATTAACAGCATATATTCCTGATTCCTGATGTACGAAGCGATTTAAGAGACATTGTTGAAGACGAGGGACGAAGCCGGTGGTAATCAGCCCATAATGGCACCAAGAGGGAGACGACAAAAAGTCCAGTGCGAGTTTGTTGGAAATTGATGGGCAAGATAGACATGTATTTGTTGTTGAATTCCGGACCTGTTCTTGGGCGGTGACGGGTTAGTCGGTATCTTCTTAGGGCAATATTCCCCGTGATCCCATGCATCAAGGTTATCTCGGCTCCAGGATCGTATCCGGACGCACTTCCTGACGTAAACGTAATGACCGAGTTAAGTCCGCCTGCCAATCACGGCGGAGGATATGGTAAGCCGAAGAGTCTCGCCGAACTCCCTGACCTGCTCTTACTGGAAGCGGCTTAGTCCCCAGCGCCCCCTCGCCCTCAGACCATCAAATCCCGATTGACTCTTATTTCCTTATTTCTCTCTCCCGCTCTCTCTCTCTCTCTCTCGATCAACAATTCCAACGTCGCTTCCACTTGTGTATATCGTCGGTCTCACTACCCATTGAAGGATCACTCATGGAGTCTCTTCTCCAGCAGTCTCGGGCGATGTGCCCGTTCCTCAAGCGCACGTCTCCATCTTCTCTGCGTACGCTGTCAACCGCGACTCGGCCTAGCACTAGTTCCGGTGGAGGCACCATGTCTAACCTCCAGGTCATTGCCCGTCGCTGCCCTGTCATGAGCAAGGCTCTGGCCGTGCAGAGCGCTCGCATGGCCGGCACCAAAAGATTCACCTCATGCGCTGCCGGCATTACCGGTCTCAACAACAAGCATTGCCGTGCTCCTACTGGGAAGAGAGCACTGCACTCCACCTCCGGCAACGGCGCCAATGTGAGCGCTGAGATCTACAAGAACACCCAGCGTGATCCTACCGGTTTTTCGAAGATCAAAAACCCTTCCAATGCTTCCGCTGCTGCCGCGACGTCTGGCCCTCGTCCAGATGCTCCCGTGGCGAAACCTTTCAACTACAATGCTTTTTACAACACCGAATTGGAAAAGAAACACAAGGACAAATCGTATCGCTATTTCAACAACATCAATCGTCTTGCTCAGGAGTTCCCCCGGGCTCACACCACATCTACCGAGGAACGTGTGACGGTATGGTGCTCGAACGATTATCTTGGTATGGGCCGCAACCCCGAGGTTCTGGCCACCATGCATAAGACGTTGGACACCTACGGAGCTGGTGCGGGAGGTACTCGCAACATCTCAGGTCACAATCAACATGCCGTGGGCCTGGAAGGCACCCTTGCTAAATTGCACGGCAAGGAGGCAGCATTGGTTTTCAGCTCATGCTTCGTGGCCAACGATGCCACCCTCGCGACCTTAGGTAGCAAGATGCCGGACTGCGTTATTCTGTCCGATAGCCTGAACCATGCATCGATGATTCAAGGTATTCGCCATTCAGGCGCCAAGAAAATGGTGTTCAAACATAATGATCTGGTCGATCTTGAGACCAAGTTAGCATCCCTACCTCTTCATGTCCCCAAGATCATTGCATTCGAATCAGTGTATAGCATGTGTGGATCTATTGCGCCAATCGAGAAGATATGTGATCTTGCAGACAAGTACGGTGCCATCACTTTCCTGGATGAAGTCCACGCTGTGGGAATGTACGGGCCTCACGGAGCAGGTGTGGCAGAACACCTTGACTATGACGTCTATGCTTCCCAGGATACGGCCAACCCGCGCAGTACGAAAGGAACCGTGATGGACCGGATCGATATCATCACCGGTACTTTGGGCAAGGCCTACGGATGTGTCGGGGGTTACATTGCTGGATCCGCTGCGATGGTTGACACCATCCGCTCCCTCGCCCCTGGCTTCATCTTCACTACATCCTTGCCGCCCGCTACCATGGCCGGTGCAGACACTGCTATCCAGTACCAGGCTCGTCATCAGGCGACCGCGTTCTGCAGCAGTTGCACACCCGCGCGGTCAAGGCAGCTTTCAAGGAGTTGGATATCCCTGTGATTCCAAACCCCTCTCACATCATTCCGCTCCTCGTTGGAGATGCCGAGGTTGCTAAGAAGGCGTCGGACAAGCTTCTGGAGGAGCATGGAATCTACGTACAAGCCATTAATTACCCAACCGTGCCTCGGGGTGAAGAGCGTCTCCGTATCACGCCCACCCCTGGGCACGTCAAGCAGCACCGTGACCACCTGGTGCAAGCCGTCCAAACCGTCTGGAACGAACTGGGCATCAAACGCACCAGCGATTGGGAAGCGCAAGGCGGTTTCGTCGGCGTGGGTGTCGAGGGCGCCGAGGCTGAGAACCAGCCGATTTGGAATGACGTGCAGCTGGGGCTGAAGGAAAACGAAGCCATTGAGGCTGCTGTGGAACGCGAGTTTGCCGAGGCCCCCATGCAGGCCACCCGTCCTGCCGCGGCCGCCGCTTCGTCGATCCCGGTGGGTGTGGCTGCCTGAAGTGGCTGCCCGCATGTGAGCTGAAATCGTCGTGGAATCCTATATACACACACACTATGTTATAAATTCCACATCCACTCCTTTGCCCCTTGTTTGCCGCAGTGCGCAATATGGCTGGACGTAATTGGTATTTGGACTGTTAGTTAGAACCGGTCTGTCGTTACCGAGTGTCTTGGTTCGAAATGAAATCTGACATGCCGTCTATCCCCTATGCCACTTCATCTCATCCGTAACCGCAGGGCTTCATATACACCGCCCCGTTATTGTAGTTGATACAGTTAGTCAGCCAATCTTCGGGGATTTCGTAGTATTAACAAAAGGGGCCCTGAACGCAGCGCTATGGTTCACCTATTCCAATCAATATCCGAATCTCAGGGTCGCATCAATTGATTCCAACCTCCAGATACCCTTGACGATAATCTAAGACCATGATCCCGGCAAGACATATATTGAAATAGAGCCATCAGCACAAGATATCATGTCCAACTCATCGCCTGGATAGATACCTTCAAGCAGAACGTATCATTCTTACTATTTTAAGCATTTCTTATCGAGAATTTAGTACGAGTCACTTTTCCATGGGCAGGTAGAAATCTAGATTCATCTACTTTACCAAGACCTCTCCATATTCTAGCCTTTTTTTTTTTTTTTCTTTCCCATGTTACCTAGACCATGTCATTGGTTTTGATAACATGAATTGATACTCGGTTTGTGTGTATACTCATTTATAGCGTAGGATGCTGGATACAAACTTCGAATATCATTTGGTCGATGTTCAAGTCGATATATGTCGTTAGCGAATTGACAAGACACATACCAATCAGATATGTCTGGTAACTAGTAGGTACGCTCCTCATCATTGGAAAAGGAAGCATGGGGTTGGTACCTACTGCATTTGGTCAATTATAATAAGGGTTTCATATAGTGTAAGTAGCTGAGGTAGAACCATGGTAAGGGACGGGTAACATCTGTAGAATCCGCTGTCAATATAGATAGACCTTGGATAGCTCAGCTTTGGACAAGGCATGTGTACATAGGCAGATATATATATATATAGAAAGAAACAAAAAATATTTCTACGTATTCTGCCGACTTTTTCACTGATTGGGCAAGATCACATTGTTTGGATTAGGGTTGGATTAGCAGTTGATTATATATCTATCTGCTTCTAGAGGGCGTTTAATTCTATCGTTTCATTTATCTTTGGCCGTTTCCATCTTCCTGCTTTATCGACCCAAGGGACTTTGGATTATGTTAGGGTGCGCATGGCTTTCTACAGGGAAATAATCTACGGTAGTTATACGCAAACACCAATCGACTGATATAGTAGGTAGAAGAGGTACCTTTGGATAGTTCGTAATTTGATATTTATCCACAAAATAGTATGTACATATAGTACAACCTGAAACCGAACGCCAATCGCATCATGGACAAGCTCAACGCAAATAGATTCTTTTGTGTTTTGTTCAATAGAACAGAAAGAGGAAATGGCCATTAGATTACCTCTTTCCACCACGGCTAACCTTGGGGAACTCGACGGGGACCCTCAATCTAGCCACACGTCTAGCGTTGGCTTCGGCCTTACCGCCCTTGATACCCCATTTGGCGAATTCCGTCTCGCGTGGCTTGTCGATGCGACAGCCCAACTCGCGGAAATATTGCGTGATGACCGTGTTATCCAGACGCAGATCGTCGCGCAGATCGGACGGGTCCGTTGCCAGCTCGTTGGGGGCGTTTCCACCTTGAGAGCTGGAGCCGCCGTCTTTGGCGGGCTGAGGTGGAATGTGCAGCGATAGGGCGCATATGGTGGTGTGCAGGAAGGTGATATCGTTCTTGGTGAGGTGGGAGCCCTGTGGGGCGAATTTGCGGCGGATGGCGTCGATAACGGGATCTGGGAGGGTTTCGGCAGAGTCGGTTTTGGCGCCAGTGGGGGAGGAGAGGATGCGGCGAAGTTCATCGCGAGATGGAAGACGTTTGCTACCTGGCCCGGAAGATTTGGAGTCCTTGCCCGAGCGGAGGGCGCGGGCAAGCTCGAGGAGGAGGAACATAAAACGCAGGACTTGGAGCTGGGTGGCATTGGTTGAGTTGACGACTGCCTCCACCCGGCGAGAGACATATCGAGAGGTTGTGGCCACGGCTTCTCCGGAGTTCACGGTCTCCTGCCATTCGTTCATGCCCGGAAGCTGCTGGAGGGTGGACAGACCCCCCGGAACAAGCACATCTATCGGGTACACATCGGAAGGATGGGATGCCGCCAGATTGGCTTGAGGCAAGGGTTTGTTGGCTTGAACCTGAGCTTGCACCGCAGCGGTCTTCGTAGCAATGTCGGTGGCGGAGTCGAGGGGCATGGACGAAAGAATAGCAGATTCCGCGGCGGAGGCAGCACCGGCGGGGGCGTTGGACAGTTGGGCATTTTCGGCCATGGACTGCGCTGCCTTGCGAGATTGCTTGGTACCGAATGTATTGGTGAGTTCTGTGCGTTGGGCGCGCATCGTTTTCTGTTGGAGTTTGTCAGTAACCTATGCCCCGTCGGTCAGATAAACAAGAACTTACCATCTCCTCGTTTTCACTCTCAACTTCCTCCTCCTCTTCATCTGCAGCAGCCTTTGTTCTCCTCACTGCCCCACGAAGAGTCACCTTCCGCACCTCAACAAATTGCCAGCTTTTCTTTTCGGGGTCCACAACGGCGATGTAGTGCTTCAACTGCGAATCGGCATCATCTTCAGCCTCGCGGCCCACGAAATCCATCTTCGGATGTTCCGAAGTCTGTAGAAGTAGTTCAGACGAGACAATGCCCTTGTTTCGTGTGGAGCGACCTGAATGAGAGCCATCTGCTCGGTCCTTGAGGTATGGTTTTAAATGAAGGTTTTGGGGTGCGTTCACACCAGGGGTAGTTACTATAGCGGCGATTAATCTTCTGTATACCCTGATTGAGAGTGTAGTCCGGCAGTTAAAGAGCACATACTGATCACTGGCGCCAATTCACTATCGTCGTTGACCACGCTGGCCGCGAGAGGAGGCAGATCTTGAAATTCGAGAGCGGGTTTCTTACTCGGCCGTTCGTGGCCGTTTGAAGCGCGCTTGCGCTTCTTTTCCACCTTGTCGGAAGGCATAGCGATTTATTCACAAGTGAGCCTGCAGGGGGGCGAATGAATCCAACTTGGCGTGGAGAACAGCCTCGTAAGACTCAATCAATTATAGATCAAGAAGCTCAAGTAAAAAAAATTGCTGGGCGGGAACTAGTGGCAGAATCGGTCTCCGCACTCAAGGCGGAGAAGAAAGCATTGGATCATATCAAACGCACAAATCCACTGATAAAGTGCGATTTACGTATCAAGAATTTACTATGTAAGGATGAATCGCAAAAAGATCTACGCAAATACTTCATCTTGACGAATCCAGGTGGTTTTCAGTCATTGCTTTCATTGCAAACTTTTTAATTTGTAATAAATCCTCGAGGACCTCTCCATGGCTCAGGGCTTGAACAGCAACTGTAGGCTACGGCACAAGCCCTAAGAAGAGCAATTGACCAGATCCCATAAGGAACCCAAAGGGTCAGTGGAGTAAAAACAAATAGTACATGAGAAACGTGACCATAAACTTCTTCCACGACCCCTCCAACCCCCACCAAACACATTCGCCCTCCGAGACGAAGGATACGCAGTGCGCATCCCTGTCTGGTCATGATTCGAAACCGTTGAATGAGCCCGAGAGATTGGATGTATATTTTCGTTGAATGACGGACTCCGGATTCGAAAGGATATAGAGAATAGTAGACCAGCCAGGTCCCATTGGAGTGGCTAAACCACGAAACGATCATAACAGGGAATCATCATCGTGACGTCGTCGACTTTTGTCATGTTCAGCATTCAACTTGAGCACCGCATGGAGAACTGAGATGGATTGGGCGAGTCATTTATTTGCTGCGCACATTGTTAGTCCAATTGTCCGGTAGGTCTGGTCTTGTAGTTCGGAGACAACTCACCTGCGAGCACGCATCTTTCTGCGCTTACGCTTCAAACGACGAACGCGCTTCTTTCTCCACTTAGCTCTCATCTTCGTAGAGGGTTCGAGACTGTGAAGGGTTAGTTGATATTCAAGGAAAGAGGCAACCAGGTGCCAGCCCGGGCTGTATACTCACACTTCTGCGAGGATGAGGAGATGGTTGAAAGAAAGACGGAGAGCAGCGGCCGGCCGAGCTTCTTGTGTGCGTCGTGGCTGACTCAGCATCCTGAGACGCTAAGGGTTCGCTAGTGCTGTCCCGTCGTTGATTGGCTGGGCATCGGCTTACCGAGAAGGCATTATGTCATCTATCTATGGAATTTCGTTTTCTCTCTGTTGCATATCCACTTTCAAATGTGATCTGTGGTGGTAAAATTATGAAAAAATTTTCATTGTTCTGTGAAGAGAACAGAAGAATATCACATATTTACCATTGACTTATGTTTCTCTGTTGTTTATGTGCCTGACGTACCCTTGCATCGATCCTGCCAATCACTATAGAGACATCTCGACATCTCTTCTAGTAAATTCAACTACCAAAGAATAACACTAATAGTTATAGCGATAGTTTAACGCCATATCGCCCAGTAGCTCTTGATCTTCGTCACTGGGTATAGCCGTGCCATCGGCTATAGCCTGATCGCGGCGCCGGTTATCATACCAGACAGCCGCAAAGTAGACCATACAACAGGCCGCCGAAAAGCTAAGGAACGATACGCTGATGATATATCCTGGCCGGTATTCTGGTGCATCCTTTTTCAAGAAGGCATACGTCGATATAATACCACCAACTGTCGCCATGTTAGCCACGATGAACGGGATTAAGTCACACAGTTTCACTCACTATTTCCAAATCCAATTTGCCAGGCCGTTCCCACACTTCGCCTACGATGGCCTGCTAGGTTCATCGCGAACCAGCAAACAATGACCGGCATTGCACTGTAACATCCACTTGTAACCATGAATAAGGCGCCATATTGAACATTTCGATGGGCCTGTCCGTGTACATTCAACAGGATTCCAAAGCCAGCCATGGCAATTAGCATGGGCACTATAGTAAAGGCAAAGCGATGTCTGGTTTTGTCAGAGAGAATGGCCACCAACATGGAAAATCCCCAAGCGGCTGCCCATGGTGGGATCGAATACAGCTGAGTCTTGATTGCTAGAAATAAGGCTTAGTAGACTGCAAGGTGAACATAAATAGCAGGCAGACGTACCATCATAGCCATAACTTTTGATAATGGTTGGCGCAAAGTAGGCATATCCTGCGCGTTGTTAGCAACCGTGCTCTTCATCAGTTGAAATACACCTTAGAAGCATCTGCATCCGCCCTACCATATGCTGTGACAACCTGACCGAAGTACATCAAGCCACCGATGAATATCTTGTCTGGAATACACAATGAGCACCGCAAAGAGTTTGGCATGCTCGTAATGTCACTCACAGTCTTTGAAGACCTCCAATACTTCGCGCCAACCTATCTTAGCATCATGACCGGCGCTCCCCGAGTCTTTGGCTAGTTTTGCCTTCAGGAATTCGCGCTCTTCATCGGTGAGCCATTTGACCTCCTCGGGGAAGTCAGGAATAACAAAGAACCAGGCAAGCGAGACGACACAAGTAATCAGGCCTTCAATTATAAAGACCCAGCGCCAGCCTCGGTAGCCACGAATTCCATCCATCTTTCCAAGCCCGCTAGCCAGCAAGCCACCGAAGGCGCCCGCAAGTGTGGTCGAGCTGAAGAAGAAACTGAACCTCTTCTGTGCCTCGCTCCGTTTGTACCACATTCCCAAGAGATAGAAACCTGCATACGACGGTTGGCCATCGTTATATCAAGTTGGAAATAAGGAAAGGGCAGAACGTACAACCAGGGAACATGCCTGTCTCAAACATTCCTGGATAGGATCTGTCAGTTGACAAGTGCTACACTGACCAGAGGGTCGTCGACTCACCCAAAAACCACCGAGTCGTCATCAGCCCACCCCAATTAGAGACTAGGCCTTGACAGATCGTAACCAGACCGAACAAAAACATACATCCCGTCACTAAAGTAGCCACCAGCATTTTAGTCCATACTTCCTATCTACAGTATGTCAAGAACACCTACACCATACATGGGGTCTCAGCTTCTTAAGCAAGATATTGGATGGGATTTCGAAAATGACATATGGAACGAAGAATATGGTCAGTGCAGTATTGTATTTCGTCCCGTTAACTATATTCAAGTCTTCTTGTAGACCGAGGACTGCCGCGTTACTGATATTCACGCTGTTCGCAAATGTTAAAGTAAGGTCGTTATACAGTTGTGTTCATGGGGGAAGCCAATCAGGCTCATACCGATCCAAGAATGCGAGCAGATACATGACACATAGACAAGGCATAAGGTGCCAATCTATTTTAGCCATAAGCTTGCGCTCCGTAGTATTCCTCAGCTGGGGAAGATCAGTCGGTAGGGCATTGACATGGCCTTCGATCTTGTCATCTTGAGGAGTGAGTTGCTCTGGTCGCGCGATTCGTAAGTCAGCATCATGCTCATGGTCAGGCAAGCAGCTTTGCTCTCCATACCGTTGAGCCGCATGATGTATGTCTTTCAAGTACTCTCGAGTAACCGCTCCTTGTAAATACTCTCTCCTGGCCGGTTTCCCCAGGGAAGAATGGATAGTATACTGTTGTTCTCGCTTACCGCCGGGGGATAGAGCGGGCTGGCAAATGTGAATCAAGGGATACTCGTGGTATCCAGGGACTAATTGAGATGCAGGAGAAAGGATTAAGAGTATAAGAAGAGGAAAGAAACAAAAAGATGAAAGGGAAGAGATCGAGAAAGTTTCGGTCAAATCATTTGGTCCTGATCATAGCCGATAGACTAATCAAAGCCAGTCGATGCATAATACTGCGTCTTGGGCTCGGAAGGATTATGAGTACGAGTCACTCGGTGATCATGGGTACCTAACTACTAGTACTACTACCTTGAAAGCCCGAGTAAGCATGGTCAATTGAGATTGGCTGGATAGGTCCCTGCAGCCGGGGAGCTTAACTCAATCCATGATATGACCCCCGGTCTCGGCCTGTATCGAATAAGCATGTCAACTACATGGTACGAAATACTCTAAGACTATCCTTCTTTCTTCCTCGATGGTATACCTTTTCACCCGTGATAATACTGGGGATCGATGAAACTAACCCCAATATCACCCCATATTGCCACGCTAGACCCGAAGCTGCTTTCCCCGCAATTTAAACGTCCGCTGGAGACGGTTACATAAGCGACCTCCCCCACACTAGTTCACTAACTAGCATCATAATCAAAGGGACTAGAACATCGGTGGAGTGAGTGTTCGGCATTTATTGGCATGATACGAAGTTTAAACTAGGATATTAACTAGGTATCTCCGCAGTAACCCGTATATTACCGAGGGAAAGCCTCAATGCTACTGTGGCCTTTGTTGCCGTGTATTAGTTTGAACTCTCGCGGCTGTAATTCCGCCATCCTGTTACTACCCATACCTATAGAGAGGAATTATCTTGCTTTCCTTGATATCGTCTGCTTCAGCTCGCACTAAGTCTGTAGTTCGAGGGGGTGTTCCCCACTCCAAACAATAGAGTCATATATAAGTCATTTGTATCCTTGACATGCCTATTCTACCATAACGTGGGTGCCACTGAAGTTGAGAGGAAACATCTCTAAAAACCATTACCGGGGGTGAACACCTCCGCCATAGAAAGCATAGCTTTCATGGAAATGCACAAAATATCATACAAGAACTACATCCACTCAGCATTATCCCAGGCTGAGAAGGAGCACTGCGGATAGATAATGTCTGGTTACGTAGCAGTCGACGGCTGCTCTTCCACTGCCTTTCCCCACGCATGCTCAAATGCCGAATTCGCACCGGGCCCTGTGGTCGACGGTTGTTGAATCTGACTGCGGTCAAGTTCGTCATAATCCTCTTTCTCGATCAACACCGTGTCGGAACCAGGTGTCTCATCTCCTGGAGACTCAATTTTCGTTCCGGACCCAACCAGCTCAAAATCGAAGTTAGAGCTATACACTACAGCAGCGAAGGCTTCTAACTCTCGCACACCTTGGTCCATCGCATTTAGGTAAATATTTGGCGGGTTTGTACCATTACCAATCACATGTGCCTGCCGGGCTAAAACCGCCAGAACGTTAGCTAACTTTGCCTTCGGCTCGGAGCTATCAGCTCCCGGGACAACCGTGGCAACTGAAGTAAATGATTGGGGAACGCTCGGCGAAGGTTGTGAAGTCGACTTGAAAGCATCGGCGGTGCATTGCTGGATCAATGTCTGGAAGCATTCATTATTCAGAAGCATCAAGACACGCGTAAAAGTTGGTGATTCGATCAGGTCGCCGTCTCATCCAATAGGTGTCGCAACGTAGTTGCAGTCTGGGAGTTGGCGAGCTCCGTCACTCCAAGGACACCGGACTCCTCTAGCAATTTATCCTCCCCTTCGCAAGGGGGGAGCAAATAAGACAGCCACTTCCTGTGTCTATAGCAACAGTTAGCAAAAAGTTCGGTCGGCTTTGGGGCGGGGGAGGAACGTGCTTTCTCTCCTCCTCAGTATGTCCCTCCACTCTCTTCCGGACTTCCAGGAATAGCTCAGACAGCCTCGCCAACGACACATCTTCCCGAGGGTTCAGGGGGCCAAAGACCTCTGTAACGGCAGTCTGTACCTCGTTCATTAATTGCTTCCAGCCTCGGTGAAGCAACCACCAACTAAAGGCAAGATAGCGACGATTGGTCTCAAAATCATTTCCCAAAGTCTGTGTAAGGTCATCATCGTCATGGTCCTCTAGTCTGATCGTCGACTCATTGGCAGGAGGTGTCGCCATAGAGATTACGCTGGAAAGATAATTCCGACGGCCGAGTAGGTTAAGTTGGATTCGCGTAAAGAGTGTCAAAAGAGAAAGGGTATAGACTAGAGTGAAGGACCTGGTGATAGCTGTGACAAGCTAATAAGTTCTGGGTTCTAGGCGATAATATGATTTGGGATGATGGCTTACAGGTGATTTTGACCTCGTTCCAAAGCTGTGTCTTATTCCGTTTCGGTCGCGCCTCGCCATCGCCCTCAACGGAAGGTTCTCCCATTTGGCTTGTGCGGACGAATCCATCACTCTGAAAACTGGATAGGCTCCGACGGTCATCCTCCGGTAAGCTGGGGGATACAGAGCTTAGATCTGATCCGGTCCCTTCCCCGGCACTGAGCCGAGCTAACCTCTCTGCTCGCTTTCGTTGGAGCTCCTTCGTCAATTCCTCGACAGGAAGAGCGTCGACAATATCTTCTGCAGCAGTCGGTAAGAGAGCAAGAACGGTATAGGTGCAATCGGTTTGGTTTTGTTCGAAACGTCGCCGTAAACTGAATGTTGCAACATTCGAGAATGATACGTCAATTACCGTCTCCGAGCACACGAACACACCCGACAAGCAAAGGGAGGTTACTCACTTCTCCCGAGCGATCCGGTCACTGCTCATACGTTCCCGTGCTTCTGAAATTTTGGAGAGCACATATTGTCCTGCGAGGTAACCGGCTCCGATCACGCCAGCCCCGATCGCGAGACCTTTGCGATTGCGCCGGAACCAGCGCCTAGTAGCACCGATCATGGTGGAGCTGTCGGAGGTACGCGGATAATCTCTCTCAAGGATTTAAGTCAATTCAGCTCATCATAAGGTACGAAGAGGAAAATAGCAAAGCAGAGGCAAGCTAATGTAGGAGAATATAAAAGGGGAGAGGAGGCGAAGAGGGATCATCAATGACAACAACCGAGAGAGACGGTCGGGGAATGATAAAAGCATGGCCAACCGTCTGGCGCGGCCTCGGCTAAAGTTCGATAGCAACGTGAAATCATGGGGTGGTGCAATGATTGTCGGGGACGTATTAAACTGGAGAAGAATCTTGTGTTTCCTTTAGATAAAGCGTCAATATAACATGATATATATGAATAGATAAATTTATATGATCTATTATTTCGGAGGAAATTCATGTACTTTTATTGTATTATCTACCTTTTCTTGCAGACAAGTTCATTGTAGGTTAGGGTCACCTTGACTCTGGCCGTCACGCTCAGGTACTCCAAAAGAGTTAAGGCACCGTTATCTTTCCGTTACTATCGGCGAGGGGCAACACTTCTGCCGGAATGGTCACCGTCTCACTCCCGATCCACGGGTTCATTCTCCTCAACTCTTCTTCTGTCTACATACTCATGTCCTATTCCTCTGCTGGTTGACACACCTGAAATACCCCTAGAGAACCATGCATCCTCCGTGAACATCACAGTCAAGTATTTTCATACAGCCCATGCCAATCTAGACAGCAACTCTCCCGTCTTTACGCCCTCAGCATCCGACATCATCTTCTCCGCGCCACCCCTCGACTGCTCGAACCCCTGTGAGAAAGTGCTGACATCGCTCCGTGTTCACGGCCCAGCTCGTGGTGGTAGCTGGGTCGTCATCGAATACTCGCTATCATCAACCCATAGAGCAGAAGGAGTACGGGATCCCCACCGTTCGTTTCAGATCCATCTCTCGCATCCCCAACACGAACGCGTTACGTTATGGAGCCCCGCAAAACCCCTCCGGAGTACTTCCTGGAGATCTTTGCAGACACCACCACCGTCCGGGATGTCTTAAAAGGTATATTAACCTCCTTTAAACATTTCTTAGATCTAGCCTGCTGTTCGTTAATAAATCGTCTTGATATATGTGACTGACACATCTTCTCGTTCAGGTGTTCTCAACCTAATCTTCTTTCACCGTTACTTTCCCTCTATCCGACCGACTACCTTTGATGTCCTAGACTTTACTCTCCCCGCTATCAACGATGAAGACCTTGAGACTCTTATTGAGTCGCGCATCAGCGCTCTAGTCCGCCAGCACTCCTCATCAGCTGCTAGCGCCCATGAAGGGGGCGGCGGTGTGCGCGGTCGGATCGCAGTGGAATTTTACGAGAAGAAGCGCAGGCGCTCCGGAATCTGGTTCGGTGGGCTTGCTGGGAAAGGCGAGGAAGAGGTATGTTGGGAGGTGTGGAATCTGGATGTGACGATTGCCACTCCACGGACAGAATCAGGTATGCATTTGCCACCTTTAAATCGGCCCATACATGCGCTCTGCAACTTGTACGAATGCATGACAGTGCTGACTGCTCATGCAGAACGCGCCAAGGTGCGCAAGGCGATGGAGAATATGCTTCAAAAAGCAGCCTTGAAGATTCTCGCCGTAGTGAACCGAGAAAAGGACCATATCCCGCCCATCACAACAAGTGACTCCAACCCATTCCCTTACAGGATTGTCCTAAACCCTCGGTCAGATGGCTGGCAGAATCGGTTTGGACTATACTGAATTAAGAAACCATTACATCTGCAAGGTTTCGCTGGGTCGCAGTGCCCGCTTTCTTCTCTATTCTCTTTTCCTCTCTTCTCAAAGATACACACAGCTTGCATCCGTATCTGTATATCTGGAGTTGTGGAGTAACGGCTCGATGCTAATTCAATGCTCCGACACTCGGAGTTTTTTGCAGCCTGTCTTCCCGTGTATTATTACGTTCCACTGGCTCATCGGTTTACTGTTCGAGATTCAACAAGCACGGAGGCTAACACATCTTGCGGGGAAGGACCCAGTGTTGAAACAAATATAAATGGTGCTTCAGATTAACAAAGTGGCATCATCGCATCAAATACAACTATACCCGCGTTCGTGGAAAGAGGGCGTGGTACCCCGCGTCTCACCTACCACGCCAAACAAAGCAAGCAATTCTACTAATCATGACAAAATACCAAGACAGCTAGAATGACCCAAAACCGTCTGACTCAGGTCGAAGTGCCTTCTCACCTGACACTTTTCCTTGCCAGCGAATCTTCACTGGTTTCTTTATTTTCAAGCACCAAAACACCGAGACCGACCTGGCTCATGGCAACGCAGAACACGCCGCGAATGCCGTATCACCTTGCACGGTCAGTTTACTGGGCCTTGGTAGCAGCATCAGCCTGGGCGCGGAGGTTGGCCGAGGTGTTTCCGCCAGCGAAGAAGCGGCCAAAGACGGGCTGAATGAAAGAGTGGAAGACGACTTGGGCACCGCTGGAAAGTTGGGTCAGCCCATGTTCATAATCGTGTTCATAAAAGAAAATCATAATAAGGAAGCTTACTTGGTCTGGGGGAGAGCCATCCAGAGAACGAGGCCGAACTTGAAGATGTAGTAGAAGGCTAGTTAAATCGCAGATCAGCACATTGTTCCCAACAGTTGCGAAAGCCACCGTAACCGAAGAACAACAAAAGGGCACTACTTACGGAACCAGTAAGGAGCATAGACAGCACTCTCAATGACGGTGAAGAAGGCGTAAACAACCCAGTACTATCAGATTCACATGTCAAATCAGTCACACCGATTCATAGAGGGAAACCTGTCACGTGCTCGGGACATGGCCTAGGTACAAAGCGGTATAGATCACAGGGAGAACAAGATCACAAGAACATACCGTCAACCACTACGGGAATCACGAAAGAGTCAGCATATTCGATCAGCGTCTAGAGTCGGGTGAGAAGTAAAAACGTACCTGTGTGTCATCGGCCTTGCCAGCGGTGAACAATGCGTTGAGAGAGTAGTAGCCAGGGATGATGAAGCCAGCCAGGTTAACAAGGAATTCACCGGCGATGTTGAAGAAAACCAGGAAGGTGTAAACACCGACCAGGCCCAGGATCACGTAGACCTTGGGGACGGAGGTCTGACGCTCAAGGTTGTTGAGGACAGGGTACTTGGAGAGCTGTGGAAACACACACACAAGAAATGTTTTGATTAGCCTTCCTCGATCCGAATACAAAAGAAAAAAAATAAAATAAAATATGAAAACAAGCAATGGTCAATTCCCGCCAGTTCCACCAGATATATTTAGTCGAAGAAGTCTCCAGTCAAAAATATCAACACAAAGTCATCGTTGACTCCCCGACACAAGCAATCAATGCCAACGCATTTCTCTCATCCGAATATCAACACGCACAAACAAGGACTCACCTCCTTGTCAAGCTGAGCAATAGCGTGCTGGGCACGATCCTGGAAGGTAGCCATTTTTGCTTGGTTTGAAAGGGTTGGACAGGTTCGTCGATTGAGGCTTACTCTCGGGGTGGGATGGAGGCTGACGGAAAGGTTGAAGAAGAGAAAAGACGGGTCGTTATCAAGCTGAGGAAGTGAGACTGCGAGAGGACGATCTGGCGGTTACGGAGCGCAATGACCGCCATGACGACGGTGCGGTGTGTCACGTGATTGGTCATGACGTTGAGAAAACTGGAGGATTGCTTCCGATACACGAATGACGTGACCAGGCTAAGCCACTAGGGTTTCATCTAGGCTCCTCGATTTTAGCAATCGTGCACAAGTAAGGTTCTGCTAATGCCAGAGACTGCACATTTGCACCTGCATCGTAAAGGGCTTCTCAGAAGCAATCTTCTCATCGTGTTGGTATTACACCTCGGTACTGTACCTGTATTGTATTGTCTTGTCACACTGTACATTTGCGATGACTAATACCGACAGCCTCAGGCTGTTGCCTTCGGCGCGAGATAAGCATTACAAAAAGCCCTAACGGAGTCGTAAACAGGTAGAATGTTCCAGTTTCTCCTCCGCATGACTTTGAACTATTGCTGTGCTTTCCTGGTGCCGTTCTTCAGCTGCACTGGTTTATGGGTGGAACGCATACACGACCTTTTTCAGGATGGAAGCGCACGCCCATCAGCAAGCATATTTCAAGGAACTCAAATCTCCTAACATTCATCGAGCGTAAACTCAAACTCTGAGAAGAGACACCCAGAAAGACACGGTGGCCACTGTGTCTGTATCACTGACTTCACACAAAGTCCAGACCAACGCTCCTGTAAATGCCATCTACCGGCCATTCGAGTCACACACACACACGACTGGCTGAAGGGTCCATTTCCTCGCGAGGATCCCTGTGAGAGAACTCGGAATAACGGCACGGAAAGAAATCCACTTTAAAGTCTATAGATCCGTAGGAAGCAAACAAATGCGAGCATCGGTCGACTCCGTCAGGCCGCAAGCTGCAATGAGCTATCGCACAACTTTCAGGCCTATGTCGTCGTGTGTGATAATAATAACGGAACAGTTGAACTTGCTCATCAGGGAGCAAAGCCACACCACATGGATAAGCTAGGGCTGAAGTATGAGAGGTAGACTTCGGTGGTTATTTTGTCAACAACAGAGGGAAAGGGGTGTTGTTGAACCTCGTACGACCAACGGCAGTTATATCCTTACTTTCGGACGAACAGATGCGACCGCCACTTACAAGTGATCGGTTTGCGTTGTGCTGAAGAACCAGATGACCGCAGCGAGAGCTTCTGGAGTTTCCTTGCGCAGATCTGATGTCGGCAGTATTGAATGTTACTTAGATACGTACGGCTTCTGTTCCATGGATGGAATGATGAACCGGAAGGCAGGATATCGCTGGTACAGAACATGGTATATTCATCGGCTATTCTTATACTGGCCATAGTTTTTTGTATTCAATGGTGAAGTATAGTAGAACTGGAATAATGAGGTCGGATTTTCAACTGAGAATATCTGGAGAGCCAGTGAGATCATATAATCTTTAAGCACTGGGTCTTAGGATCCAATGGACAAAGAGAATATCCTTAGTGAAGCGTATACGAAATCTATCTTTGGCTGCAGTGAATTGTGGATCGTCAAGGACTGGTCGGCAGTCACCTGCAGGGTAGGAGGGATATGAAGAGCGAACTATACATAGTCGCCAACCAACTGAGGATCTGTGATCGAATTGGCGTCCGCAACTCGATAACGAAGCATGCAAGCATTGCAGGTAGATGGTCTTACCGCTTCTCCTACCACAACCCTACGACTCGGTGGTGCTTACTTAGTGCTTGGTATAATGAGCCAGCAGTGCTCGGTATTTAACACTAAGCGCATCGTGTTGCGTCTGGTTTGTTCGCCTCTTGTCAAGCAGGACTGGCCCTTTTCATGACTCCCAACTAATGTATGTGGTCCGTTTGTGCCAACCCCCGTCCACCCCATGGGGTTTCGACAGAAGTATAACCTGACACGGGCTCGCCACAATCTCCTCTGGCAGTATCGGATCGTATACGCGTTGCCGGTCTTCAGGTATTCTTTTCTCAATGGGCAAAGAGGATAGCTCGGCCTCTTCTGATTCCAGGACCAACTCGGCTACTTTGAAAAAGATCCCCATGTGCCACATCCCCTCCCTTCTACGATAATCTGATAAAATCTGTATGGCTTTCCGTCGAATGATGGGATCACGACACTTCACCGCTGTGAACCACAATGGGGCGGTAATCCCAGATTCAAGGAAAAATCCATTCGCGGGAGAGGGCTTTTCCTGATCAGGGCCCAGGCGAAATACTTCCTCCGCAAGGCGGGTCATTGCTTCGAAATCTGAGCGGAAGTTGTCGAAGACCATCTGATCTGTTGCGAAACAAGCTCGCAGCCATATCAATGAGACTCGATGATGGAGTTGGAGTGTAAGGGGGCCACGCCTATCCAAGGTTTTGGAGTTCCCCTTCCGCGCCATCATCTTGTTTAGTGCCATCGTCCAAGCATCGAACTCCTCCTTTATATCTTGCTGTTTCTGTCTCTGTTGCATTCTTGTAATGGCACTTGGTGTTGGGTTCTGAAGACTTAGACGCACGAATCTCAAGGCCTTATTCATTAGTCCGTCCAGGCAGAGTCTGGCTTCTTCAATGGTGGTGAACGAGATGTTTCCCTCTGTGGAAGGAGGCAGTGTGCCTTTATGGCCAATGGTCAGCGGGGCTAATGGCCGCCCAAAGAGAGACAGCTGCATATTTAACCGAAAGAATAAGTGGGATAGTTCCCTGTCAATATCCCTGGACTGAGGAGTTGCATTGGCAAAATGGCCCCGTTTATGGAGAATGGTCGCCCCTGCTGCTAGGTGGTTCAACGCCTGTTTATTGTTCCCTCGCACAATTTCTAGGCATACAAATAGACCACATGTGACCAGCAACAAGTCAACCGACTGGGGTTTTGGTGTGGTGAGGTGCTTCATTAGATATTGAATGGATTTATTGTACTGCTGGAGTACGAATTGCTCCGTAACTGCCGCGTTTTCCGCTGAAGGATTCAAGATGGCCCGCTCATGGGCAGCACTAAGTGCAGTAATGGCATGTCTAATAGTCGGTTCGGACTGGCTGAGCTGTGGTAGTTGAAAATTCCAAAGCTGAGGGCTGAAGAAGCCAGAAAGAGCCTGTGACGTCTGCGAGCAGAACAAATCTACATACTGTCGCTCTTCCCTGGTTCCCGGACGGAGGATCAGGCGATGGTCAGGACTCACCATTGACCAGGCGGG